TTGCCAATTGAGCTACAAGAAATACATGGATAACAAGGAACTTACCAAGTGTATAATTTCAAATGTTTATTCATTGTTAAAAAAAAAACTCGTCTTTACATATCCCAGCACGGGCTGCCGCAGGGGCTCGCCGGGTGCTGAGTCCGCCCCTGATGATACATGTGGTCCTATCTAACAAATTTAAACTTTTAAATCAAGTGATTCAATCTCCTGATTGAGTAGACTAAATGTGTAATTTTTAGTACTTTTATGTACCCGTCTGGTCTTCTAGAGCTGTGTCATTCACCCCTTCTTTCTAAAACTTCCTTTTGTTCATTTATAATTTGAAGTCCTGATGAAGCTAACCTTGAATTTCCTTAAAATCATGCAGAGTTGTCCATAAAGGCGGAAGTTAACATGGTTCAGAGCATTTCCTCGACTTCTAATCCTGCAGGTGCAAGCTGTGATAGTTTAAAAAGTGATGAAACTGCCAGTGAAGTAGCTGAGTTATATGTACCTGGNCTTTTCCTCAACTTCTACTCCTGCAGGTGCAAGCTGTGATATATTAAAAAGTGATGAAACTGCCAGTGAAGTAGCTGAGTTATATGTACTGGGAACTCTCTATTATCTGAAGAGGATCGTGGTTGTACGAAGACATGACAAACGTGAGGAAATTTTCATGCTGTGCAAGAGAGAACCAGGTGAACATTTTCAGAGGAAATTGTTTTCGATCAACATAATTTCAGATCACAAATGTTATATCCATTATTATGCTATGAGGGATGTACTTAAGGGCTTGCATGCTTCTTTTGAGAACAGAAATTTGAACTAAATAAATTTGAAATGTTAGTTCATCTATAGTACTGTATAAATTTTGTTCCATTTAATCTTTAATTTCAAATTTATTAAGAATAAGGCTTGGTTTGTTTTTGTAACCTATAATCATCACAAGTATATTGTAATTAGTTTTGGATTGCACAATTTTCGTGTAAAATTCATGGCATTTGTTGAGAACTGGCAGAATGTGAGCTTTGGTGTTAATCTTTTTTTTTTTGGAGAGCAATCATTGGTGTAATGATATAGATGAGTCAACTAATGTCTGCCTTAGTGAAGAATGATGCTTGGAAATTTTTGAGTACATGTCATCACACCATGAGATATAGCATTCAAGAAAAAGTAGGAAGGTACATTTTTGTCACATTATTTTACTCATAATAGTTGTTTTGAGCTGGAGTCAAGTCGAGTAAGCTACAATTTATCACATTATTCTACTCCAGAACACTATTTTGAAGTAGAGTCAAGTCATTTAAGCCTGCAATGTGATAGAATTTTGAAGTATTCAAGAGTCTAACCATGTTTATCAAATTAGAAATTGGAGATAACACATTACTTTTCATCAATGTTTGTTTTATGAAATTGTTGCCTTCGTTGGAATAGGGGATAAGAAGTGCCAGGATATGATTTTTGTGCTTGTAATGATATTTGGTGATAAAATTAGACAATATTAAAGAAGGAAGATCAGCGCCTTCTTTTCCTTTCTTAGATTCAAAAGCACTACTCGTCCTTAGATCAGTCTTTTCAAAAAAAAAAGGGGGAAAAATGGGGAATACCCTTTACCATCCCCCTACAAAGTCACTGTACTTCAGTATCCCTTTGGGTTTATTCTAAGCTCCTATTTGGCCAAGATTCATTTTTAAGCACACATTCTTTAAATAAAATAATTTTGTAAGTTAATCTATTCTAAAAAACTTTACATGTTTTCACATCATTCCC